AAAACTGTCACCAACAGTAAGAGAATTTAGTCAAATTGCAGGTTATAATATCAACACTTAAAAATGAGCTTTCAGCTGTACAAATAAAAACCAGTTAGTAGAGGTAATGAAAGAGGAGAGTCCACTTATGATAGTAAACAATAAAATACCTTGGCATAAATTTAACAAGAAATGTTTATCTCACATAGATTTTGGACTAAAAAAACTAAACAAAACTGAATACATAAAAACAGAGTTGCCTAGGTGCAGTGCCTCACTCACGCCTGTAATCCCAGCACTTTGTGGGGCTGAGGTGGGCAGATTGCTTGAGTCCAGGAGTTCAAGACCAACCTGGGCAACACGGTGAAACCCCATGTCTACTAAAAATACAAAAAAGTAGCTGGGCAAGGTGGTGCATGCCTGTAGTCCTAGCTACTCAGGAGGCTGCAGTGGGAAGATCACCTGAGCCTCGGAGATCAAGGCTGCAGTGAGCTGGAGCCACTGCACTCCAGCCTGCGCAACTAGAGTGAGACCCTTTCTTTAAAAAAAAAAAAAAAAAAAAAAAAAGCAGAATTGAACAAATGAAAGGACATACCACACTCTTGAATAAGGAGACTTACCCTAAAAATGTCAATCCTTCCTAAATTAATTTATGAATATAATGTAATCTCAATAAAAATCTCATCAGGTTTTTCTGAAGTTAGACCAGTTGATTATTAAATTCCTTTGGAAGGAAAAACTAGAACCCTCATACATTGCTGGTGTGAATATAAATTGGTGAAGGCATTTTGGGAAAAAGTCTGGGAGTTCCTCAAAGTGTTAAACATAGAGTTACCACATAATGCAACAATTCCATTCTAGGTATATACCAAAGAGAAATAAAAACATACGCACATGTAAAAATTTGTACACAAATAGTGAAAAAAGCATTATCCGTAATAGCCAAGTTGTGGAAATAAGCTAAATGTCCATCAACTGATGAAAAGATAAACAAAACATGGTATATCCATACAATGGAATACTATCCAGCAATAAAACGAATAAAGTACCAATACATGCTACAATATGATAAACCTTGAAAACATTACACTAAATGAAAAAAAAAACCATAAAAGAATATTATGTGATTCCATTTATGTGAAATAACCAGAATAGACAAATCCATAGAGAGAGAAAGTAGATTAGTGATTGCCTGGGGCTGGAGTGGACGGAGAAGGGACTGAGAAACAGGAAGTGACTGCAAATGTGTAAGCGGTTTCTACTTGGGATATTGAAAAAGTTCTAAAATTAGAATGTGATGATGGTTGCAGAATTCTATAAATATACTGAGATCACTGAATTTTATACTTTAAATGAGTAAACCTTATGGTATGTGAGATATATTTCAATAAAATTGTTTTTAAAATTTCACTAGGAAGGACCAAAAAAACCCATTGGAATAACTGACGGCTATTTGGAAAAAGATATGATTGGATACATTCTTCAAGCCATATATAGGATAAATTACAAATGAACCAGAGATTTAATGTTAAAAATGAAGCCGTACAAGTATAAATGTGGGTGAATTCCTCTGTAACACAGGAGTAGGGAAAATTTTATTAAGACTCAAGACCAACAGCCCAAGGGAAAAGACATTTGATTTTTGGTTACATTTTAAAAAACCCAACACCATAGTGAAATAAAAATTTCAAAATACAAAAAATATTGTAATATTAAAAATTAAAGGGCCAACATACCTAATAAAATAAAGAACTTATAAAAATAGGGAAGAAAATGACCAACAATCTAATATGAAAAACTGACCTAGAGATAAACAGCTCATAAAAAATAAAATACAAGTAGTGCGTAAGCATAAGAAGAAAATGCTCAAATGTGCTTGTAATAAGAGAAATACATATGAAAACGATAACAGAATACCATTTCTCACCTATTAGTAAAAATAAAAAAACCTGACAACAACTTTGTTGGTGAGGCTACAATAAAAGAGACACTCTCATAAACTGCTGGCATGACCCTTATGGATGGGAACTGACAATATCTAGTAAAAATACATATATATTTACCTCTGAACTAGCAATCCCACTTCTAGAAATCTATTCCAAAAGTATACTGGCAAAAACATGAAAACACTTAGGCATAAGGTTATGCATTACAGCAGTACTTCTAATTACAACATAACATAACCAATTCAAATGCTGATCAACAGGGGACTGGCTGATTAAACTAGAACATCCACAAAACAAGAGCTCTATGCAGCTGTACAAAAGAATGAAGAATATCTGTATCTACTCAAGGATAAACTATTAAGTCAAAAGCAGGAAGGGGAATACTGTTTATGCAGTAGGGTAGAAGACAGGGGAGAGGAGATATATTTTCCTGTATATTTTTAAATTTAATGAACTAAAGAATAAATTAAATCCTTTTTAAATTGTTACTTATAAGGTAAGGAGAGGAACAAGATGGACAAGAAGGATGATACTTAGAATCTGAACTTCTTTGAATATACATTGTTTCACTGATTTTGACTTAAAGTTTATATATAATTTTTAAAATCACACTTGGGGGTAGGGAGAGCAGTCTCTAAACTCTGAAAGCAAATGAATCAAATAAACCTGTGTTTTCAATTTATAACATCTGCACACAGACTATTTCACTTATCTTTTAAAAAAATAATTTGCCTTTAGCCCCCAGTTGCTGGGGAGGCTGAGGTAGGAGGATCGCTTGAGATCAGGAGGCAGAGGTTGCAGTGAGTTGAGATCATGCCACTGCACTCCAGCCTGGGCCACAGAGTAACAGCCTGTCTCAATAATAATAATAATAATAATAATAATAATAAATTTGAACTTATCTATTATGATATACTCTAAGCAGAGAAAGAACTGTTTTTAAAAAAATGTTGGTACTAGCATTGATATTCTTCTTCTGAGTCTGTTGTGTATATACTCTACAATTAGAAAAGACAATATATTATTATGTTGGTGTCTTTCAGCATAGAAAAATAAAATACCCATTGAAGATCAATAAAGTAAAAATTCTAGGCTCTTGAATTTAAATTGAAAGCAACAGTATACACTCATGATTTACTGTATCTTTAAAAGCCATATATATTTCCTAGTTCTGCCCACTGAAAGAAAGAGAGGGGGCTTGAGGGTAAAGTAGGTAGTAGATAATAAATAGACAGATAAATAGATAGGTAGGTAGGTAGGTAGGTAGGTAGATAGATAGATAGATAGATAGATAGATAGATAGATAGATAGATAGATAGATAGATAGAATAGATCTTTATGTACAGCTCTACAATTCCTTATGAACAATTCTAAAACCTAAAAAGCTTTAAAAAATAATGTTTGCAATTCATTTCACAGTCAACTTAAAGTGAACTGACAGGAAAAAATAGCCATATATTCATTGCAGATACATTAATTTGCTTGATTATAGGGTGTTGCCTCAAATTCTATTTGGAATATTATTTAACTTTTAAAAATTTAAACATTTTTCAGTGCCACAATATATCTGTAGCCAAGAGGTGGGATAAGAGAGTTTGTAAACTTGTATTCGCCTGGAAAGGGTCAAAATATTAAGGAAATAAAGCAAGTTACAAATTATTATGTACTGTATGGTTCCATTTTATGAACATGTGATCACTAATTAATGTGAATAATCAAATATGGGGAAAAACAAAGGTTTTTTAAAAAACAGTAGTTGTTAGACAATAGTGTCATATAGAGACTTGCACTTTAAATGTTTTATATTTCAATTTTTCCATATTTTGCTAGCATCTATATATTACTTTTTAATTTTAAAAAGTATGGTTTTATAATTAAAAACAAAGAATACTCTTTAAAATACATATTAAAATATATAGAAGTATTCTAAATGGGGGAGCAATATTGAGGTAAAAGCAAGTACTAATTCTCCTCTCTTTTAACCAAGCAAACATGGCTGACAAAACACAACTTTGCGCAATTGTTTGTTGATACAACTTCCAAAATTACATTCCTTAACGTACTGTTCTGAGCATATAATATGTGAACAGCATTTTAAATATCAACACTGTAGTGGGGAACTAACAATAACAGTAAACAGAAAACCCTGCCCTATTCTTTTTTATGCATTTTCAAACACAAATGTTCATGGATTTCTTTTCCCCCTAAATAATTAGAATTGGATTTCACTGTGCCAGTTTCCTCTTTTGGCAAATGTAGATAATAAGTGATAATAATAACAACCACTAGAGGGTTGTTGTGAGGATGAAATGGATAACAAATATAGAAGTCTTACTCTATGAGTCCCCAGCTTTGCTAAATGCTGAATAAATATTAGCTGCTTTTATTATTATTATTATTATTATTATTAGTGTTCCTCTTAGACAAAAGTCTGTTCTGGTCCACTACGTTTTGGGGATCTGTGTCATGGAAGAAGTTCTGAAGTGTTCATTGTACCATTTTCTCTATGTTTTCTATATTAGCTGAGACAGCTGTGCCTCAAGTTAATTTCAGTCCGCATGTTATCTTTGTAATGAGATTATTTTGTGGGGGTGGGGGAGAAGAGTTTCATATAAAAGTTTTCATTCAAATCAAACTTCTAAAACTTGAAAATTGACCTTTTGTCTTTGTAAATGTTAGTCACTTAACACAATGTTTTGGATTCTGTGTTTATAATATATAAAATATCTTTTAGTAATATACAAACATTTCTTAATAGAAAATGTCATATAAACATAAATTGCATTGTTTTAAAATACTAGTAGTTTGATTAAACTGTAAAATGAAAAGTTATTTTATCATTTTAGCAAGAAGGGTGACTTACTCTCACTAGCATGAATACAGTTTCAACATAATCATACAAAGAAAAAGTGGTAAAATAAAATACTACATCTTAACAGCATAATGATTTAAAAAGGGATAATTTGGCACTACAGAGTTCATTCTGAAACATAATTTTGATTACAATATTATATAATTCTACCTTAATATAAAGAAGAATTTTAAGCAACATGATTTTTTATATCCATTACTTACCCTTTTTCATATGTGAATTCATCTTTCAGAGAATTAGCTGATGATTCACCAATAAAGACAGATGGAATGTCAATTTTCTTTAGTACCTCAACTGTATAAAAGAATAATAAAATTATTCTTAAAAGCCCATACTTAGTGTACAATCAACTTAACTTTCTTCATAATAGCAGCAAATGCAACTGGAAACAATTATAATCAACTTTAATTGTCTATTGCTTGATTTTCCAGATTGCAGATTTTATTCATCATCAAAATGGTTGAGAAACATAACATTTACAGTAACAAAGCTAACATTTTGCATATATACATTACCTGAATTCTCTCAATAGTCTATGAGATGCAGATATAATTTTTATTGTTAATATTTCCATTTGATTCTTCCTCTCTAGACATAATTTGTTAGAGAAGAAAGATGAGGAAGAAATTTTAGGTTTTCTTCCCACACATAACTTAATTCCTAAATGAAAAAGAGAAAAAGCTTCTTTTACATACCCATTTCCACGAGAGGTATAAGCCAGAGAATATAAGAAAAGACAACTTCACAACAATCTAAAAAGTAATGCCACACATCTCTGGCTTTCCAGACTGAAAGGCTGACAGGTGTTGAGAAAGGGAATAGAGTAGGAAAGCTGGGTAAATTTCTACTTCCTCATAAGCCTGGCGCTCATGGCAAAGCTTTGTGTTTGATTGGTATCTTAAGATATTTGACTCTTCTACCCATATTCAAAACCAAAATCAAATGCCACCCAAAAAGAATTTTGTAGAAATTACCCATTACTCAGGAACAGAAATAAAAACAATCCTCTTAATGTTGCTAATAGAAAAAGCAGCCTCATTATTAGCTGTGAGTTAGTTTAACACATTTGGCTTTAGAGAAGGCCCATTTGTTTCCTTTTTATAGTTTTCAAAATAACTTTGTTCTGCATTTTAAAAACAATGCATATTCATTTGCATTTAAAAGAGGGGGAGGCAAGTAAAGCAAAAGAAAACAAAACAAAACCATAATCCTTCCCATCCAAAGACAAATGTTTTATTTGAAGTAACAGGCAGTTCTGTAAGTTGTGACAAATACGTACAATTATAACCACAATCACAGTTAGGATACAGAATGTTCCGTCACCCACCAAAATTCCCTCATACAGTCAACTCCCCCCCTAAACTTATAAATCACTGATCTATTTTGCTGTTATTGTTTCATCCTTATAAAGACAAGGTTTTCTTGGTAGAGTAAGTTTTTTTTCACTTCTAGATTGTTTTATGCAAATATAAACATTCAACTCTCACACATTCTCTCTTTCACACACACACACACCCCCCCCTCCACACACACACACACACACACACACACACACATACACACCAGAAAAAAACAAAAACATGTAAGCCCCAAAGCCCAAAGAGGGCAGAAACAAAAAATATTAGTCAAGAAATATTTAATCACTACTTTTATATCAATGTGATCAATACAATTTTATTTTTTAACATCAATGTGATCATATAATTTTTAAAGTGTAAGCTTTTTTCTACACAATGATACAGATCAGACATCCTGTTATGTCAATAAATACAGATCTACCTCATCATTTATTTTTATTTTTTATTTTTTTAGAGACAGGGTCTCACTAGGTTGCTCAGGCTGCAGTGCAGTGGCTATTCACAGATGCCACCATTGCATACTACAGCCTGTAACTCCTGGGCTCAAGTGCCCCTCCTGTCTCAGCTTCCCAAGTAGCTGGAGCTATACGCATTATTTCATTTTTTTAATAGATGCAGAGGTATTGTTATACGACTATACATATTTTTCATATTTGGGAGATATTTTCTATCTTGCTAAGATATTTTCTCTACCACATATGAGTTTAAAGCTTATTTTGATACTTAAAACTTGCAATTATGTACCCTGTGTATGATGTTTTATTCTTTCATGAAGATACTATGACAAACTCAAGGAAGAACTTTTGGCTTGTGACTACTGGCTAATAATATTGGAAGTAACCTAGCTTCTTTGAATTATGATATCTAAAGAGATGTATGTAGAAAGCTCCTTACTTTAATAAAATGATTAAGAAAAAGGGAGAAAATATTGTAAGCAAATATGAGGAACCATTTTGAAAATGGCAACATTATCTACTGAAAACAAAACTAAATATGTTTTACTTCACAAAATACTTTTAAAACACTCTACTTTATTTTGATCTGTAAAACAACTCTGTGAGGTATATACTGCCAAACAAAGATAAATTACAATTTGAATGACCCAGTCCCAACGTCCCCAGATTCGTATACCCAATTGCTCATTCAATATCTCCATTTGATTTCCTAATAGATGTTTCAAACAAAGTTTCTCAGTTGAACTCTGAATGTCTCTTTTCCCTCAATTGATCAACTCTATTTCTCACCTCTGTAAGCAGCATAGACATTCACTTAGTTTCTCAGGCTAAACATCTTGGAGTCATCCTTGACTCCTCCCTTTCCCTTACTCCCTATACCAAATCCTGTCAGCTTCAAAATATAGCCATATTCCTACCACTTCTCATTACTTTAACTACTAATACTCCAAACCACCATCACTCTTGCCTGGCTGCGGCAGCAACTTTATAAATCTTCTCTGTTGGCACTTTTGCTCATCTTTCACCTTCAGTGTTCTCTCCAAAGAACAGCCAAAGTGCTCCTTTTATAAAATATGTCATATTACACAGCTGTTTAAAACCTATTCATTCATTCATTCATTCATTCGTTCGTTCATTCATTTGGAGATGGAGTCTCGCTCTGTTGCCCAGGCTGGAGTACAATGGCACGATCTCAGCTCACTGCACCCTCCGCCTCCCAGGTTCAAGTGATTCTTGTGGTTCAGGCTCTCAAGTAGCTGGGACTACAGGCATGCACGCCACCACGCCTGGCTAATTTTTTATATATTTAGTAGAGACGGCATTTCACCATGTTGCCCAGGTTGGTCTCGAACTCCAAAGATCAGGCAATCCTCCCACCTTGGCCTCCCAAAGTGCTAGGATTACCGGCCTGAGCCACTGCACCCAGCCTAAAACTTACTTAGAATAAATTCCAAAGTCCTTATCATGGCTGATAAGGCCCATCATATTTGACCCCTGGCTCCTTCTCTAACTTTATCCCCTGCCACTCCCTCCCTTGTTCACTAATCCAGCCATTGTGGCTTTATGCCACACCTTGGAAACACCAAGCATGCTTTATCTTCGAGTTATTGTACTTGTTGTTCCCTCTCCTTGGAATACCCTCCTTCAGAAATCTGCATGACTCAGCCACTAACTTTAGATCTGTGCTCAAATTGCAATGCCTCACAGAAGCTTTCTCTGACCACCCTATATAAAATAGCTACCTTCCTTTCATCTCTGTCATTCTATATCCCCTTACACTGATATTTTTCTTCATAGCATTTATCACTACTTGACATTATAGCACATCTATTTGATTACATGTTCATTTCTTCTCTCCCACTCTAGAATGCAATAAAATGATAATAATCACAATAATAATAGCTGAACAACCATTAAATTATTGCTATGAATGAGGAAGTCTTCTAGATGCTTAACAGGCCTTAATTCATTCAATCCTTATAGCAACTAAATGACTTAGGTACTATCATTATCCAATTTCACAGATCAGAAAAACTGAAGCATATAGATATTAGGTAACGTATCCAAGGTCATACAGCTACTAGGTGGTAGAGCTGGGATTCAAACCCTGAAAGGCAGTACCCAGAAAGTACTCTCTTAACTACTGCACTCTACTACCTCAATGAAAGATACGAAGGCAGAGCCTCTGACTGCATCATTACTTGCTATAGTCTCAATGCCTAAAACAGTGCACACTAGGCTGTCAAAAAGCATTTGCTGAAGGAAGAAATCAAAGAAAAAAAGGAGAAAAAAATGACCCAGAGATATACAGTTAGATATTTGCACAGTTTGGACTCAAACCTGAGGCTTCTTATTCCTTATCTAGGTTCCTCTCACTCTGCCATTGCATGGGTTTTCTCATATACCTTCTCTCATAAGATTTTCACAAACTCGTCAGGTCAAATAATTATTAAAATTATGCACACTATTATAGATGAAAATAATGGGCTTATAAAGATTAAGTAACTTTCCTGAGGGTGCAGATACCTGGCTCATATATCAACTAGTCTGTCTTAGAAAAAAACACATATTTCCCGTTTCTGAAGTTGGTGTCCTTCCTACCACTTTCTGCTGTCTCCTAAAGATAAAGAATGTTATTGGCCCACTGAATTAATCCATTATTTCTGGCTGAAATAAAAATTGGTATATTCCTCATGTGAAGCGTCAACAGGAAGGGGCTTTTAAAACTTCCTTTTGTTTCCAGGCATTAGTATCTCTACTTAGTATACAATACCAGTATTCCTAGGGAAGGCCTTGAAAAGAGGGACAGATACAAGCCTCTTCTGATAAATCCATGCTTTTCTTACCTCTACCAAGTAACAGTAAAGATGAAAATGGTAAACATCTTTACAACATTTGTCTCCGTACATATAAAATGTTTAAACACACGGGCAAAGATGGAGCAAAATATCATAGAAAATAATCTAAGCAACAAAGTCAAGAACCAAAATTCTGAGCAGTCTTTGAATAACAACTCAGTTGAAACATTTCCATGGAAACAGCAGGCTTATATGGTTATGTGCTACTTTTAATATTGAACATATTTCTTTAGGAGCTGACATGATTATCACAAAAAGGTTTTACGGTATTATAAAGAAAAAATAAGTGATAAACGGAACTGACAATTTCAGCCTGAAAAATTTTTACTGAAAACATGTCAAAAGACTAAATAGTTTACAAATAATAATCAATTTGTTCAATCCAAAACATATTCAGCCCTTGAGAAGGTCTTGAAGATTTGCTAAATCCTGGGCTTGGAACTTTGGCAAAACATACAAAGAGTAAGTAACTTGCTCAAAGTTATACAACTGATACAAGTAGGATTTGATTTCAAATTCAGGCCTATCTATTTTCAGACTATGCATGCTTTCCATTTTGCCAATAAATGTATACAGATCACAAAAGTTACTGACCCTGGGATGTATCAACTGGGATAATTTTTTAAAGACGGTAATAGTTAAAGGAGGAGAAGTAAAATGTGTCAAATTGGCAGTACTAACATTACCAGTTTATTTGATAAGTAAACTCACTTAGGTAAGTCCTATAATTCCCATGTAGTAGCTGTCAAACTATTCTTGAAATGCTAAAACTTCTCATGGGTACTTAATGGACTCTACAGTCATAAAGATTTAATCAGCTAGGAGGTTAAAATAATAATTTAAAATATAAATAAATTACCTAAGAAATGCATTAATAAATTTTACCTTTTATATATTATAATTTTGCCTCACTCTATTAGGGTTAAGGACAAAAATGCCCAGGCGCAGTGGCTCACGAATGTAATCCCAGCACTTTGGGAGGCTGAGGCAGGCAGATCACCTGAGGTCACGAGATCAAGACCAGCCTGACCAACATGGAGAAACCCTGTCTCTACTGAAAATACAAAATTTGCCAGGCATGGTGGCAGGTGCCTGTAATCCCACCTACTCAGGAGGCTGAGGCAGAAGAATCACTAGAACCGGGAAGGCGGAGGTTGCAGTGAGCCGAGATCGCACCACTGCTCTCCAGCCTGGGCGACAAGAGTGAAACTCCATCTTAAAAAAAAAAAAAAAAAGAAAAAAGAAGGGCAAAAACAAAAACAACAGAAAACACTGTCATAGGCTAAAATAAGGCTTTTTGGTTAAGGAATATAAAATATTTCCTTTTCAGGATGTAGTTATTTAAACTCCTAAATACATTCCAGTGTTTTCTATCAGTCTATAGCTTTATGTCTATACTTCGCTTTACCTTGAAAATATGAATCAATAGGACTTAATAGCAAAATATACTGTGGTTATGCACGCAAAACAAAATAAAATAAATTCTAATCCTAAGTGTTGACAGTAAATAATCTTAGTATAAATTAGAAAGGTTTTGATAAAACCCCATAGTGCCCTGAGTGATAGAAACTACATTAAGTGAGGCATACATCTTAAAAGTCAGTGTCTTATTATAGCCAGTTATGTCACTAAAATTGGCTCGTTGTTCCCTACAAGCCAATAATTAGTAGAGAGTAAGGAAAAACATTCCCATCTGAAATGAAAAACTACGAACATGCCAGTGTATGACAAAGGGATACTAACCAACTGGTATAAGGAAGCACAAGTATGTGGCTTTGGAATTTCAGCAGATTATAGCAGCTACTTAGTGTATGTGCGGACCCTAAAATAATGCTGTGAATCTCTAAATAAATTACAAAACGCCCTCTATGGCATTCTTAACTCAGCATGTTTATCCCTATTAAAGCTGTTTCTCCCAGTTTTTGTTAAAATTTTGGTTTTTAACAAAACATCAATAAACAAAACGCTTATGTTTTAAAAAAACTGTTCAGAAAAGAAAGTCATTTTCATCTCTACTATGAATAAAATCATCCAAAGAGAGTTAAGAATGGGGGATTATCTGATAGAGAAGAAATTCTGCTTTTTAAAAAGAAAATGAGAGAAGGAAAATCCTGTTAATTTTTAGTTACAAATGATCTGTCAAACAGGAGAGAAGAAAAGTGATACCTGTACTTACTGTCGTTGGATCCCATGCTAATGAGGTCATCAGAATCAACATTGTGAACTATGGCTGCCTTGTATCCTGCTCTCTGTGCATTTAAAACCTGCAAATCAAAAAATAAAAAATCATGTTATAAGGAAGACAGTGGTTTGTCACAGTGTCCCTCAACTCTATAAATCAACAAAGTCTATACTATATACCTAGGACTAGATTACGAACATATGTAGAAATAAACCTCAGGTATGCTCTTGAAACATAGATGTTTTACAATTGATTATAAAAACCTACTGAAGTAAATAAAGGATGAGGATACAAGCTAAAACACTAAAAGGACCCAAAGTAATATATCTGTTTTGCTCTAAAGAGGTAGAAACTTGCTATAATCAGGCTTAGGAGTCACCAGACCTTGAGCATTCAATTCCCATCTCTGCCATGAATTAGTGGGATGAACTTGCGCAAATTACTTCTTTTGTAACCCTCAGTTTCCTAACCTTTTAAATGAGAATGACAATATTCTTCTCATATGTAAAATAATATTTTTAAAATGCTTAATACCATGTCTAACACATAGAAATGAGTCAGATAGAACCAATTCATATCACTAGCTTGATCATCCAAAATATTCTGTAAAATTCCTTTAGAAAGCTTTTTAAAAAATTAAAAATACCTGCAGGCTGAAGCTGCTTACTCTGATTCTATCTAGCTATTTGATCTTTCCTAAAGCTAGCCTCCAAAATAGTAACCTTTGCACCATAAGAATATAGTCGGATGTGTGGCAGAATTTTCTTATATGAAAGATCTGAAAAGTGTCAAAACATGTTATTACATCTCACTTTAAAAATAATTTTTCTGTTATAAGTAAAAATAAACCCAGACATAAACTACTTATTGCATGACCTTTAGACTACCAGCAAAAATGAAGGATCAGATAGACCATTATTTGCATATTGGTTGAACAAAATAAAAATCGGGAGGGCAAACATATATATATACGTAGTTTTGAATACATGAAATACTTTTGAACATATGTAGTTCTGGATACTAATTTCAGTAAGAAACTCTTGAAATACATTACCTTATGAGCATTCCATAATGGTATGTCTCAGAGTGTTTGAGTGTTAAGTGTTTTTAAGAAACAGGCATATTAATTTTTTAGAAGAATTTCCAAGTCTAATATTAGTTCCGTTTTAGTTATCAGCATTATAATGATTCAACACTCTGCAATAATTGCATAAAAATAAAACCTGAGTCATGTTCCAAAGGGTCAGGGAAAGCCCCGAGTCAAGTTCCCAAATGTAAAAAGGATATGCAATTATTCAGACTCTGGATCTGAAAGCTAGGTAAGAGAAATGAGTTCTACATATTCAACCCCCGTCAGGTCAGTTGACTTGGCACAGCAAAAAATTCTCTTCTACATTATTCCTGACTTCTCTAAAACTATCCCACCAATTCAAGTTAGATTTCTGAAAGAGACAACAGTGTGGATAAATCAGAATAATATTATCCTATTACTGAAAAAAACTAAATCTGTAGGAGATATGACTGCCCCAAGAAATTAATACTTTGTTCATCTCATAGCCTCCATAGCACCTATGAAATAGCCTGACACAGGGTAGGCACTTATAAAATATTACTTGAATCAATTAAATGTATTTTTTAAATGTGCTTAAATTAATAGCTCATATTATAACATTATAAACACAGGAGATAAAATCATGCAGACAGTGATTTTTTTAAAAACTAATTAATATAAATTGTTTGCAGGCACAGGACTCACTACTCTAATGTAGGAATAATGACAAGAAATCAACCAGTCAACAAAACTGTGACAAGTATGTTTTAGTTGTGCAAAGAAAGGTCAATAATCAAAAAAGTAAGTTCAGCATTTTTGCACATGAGTACATATTTTATTTTTAGGTGGATTTTGTTATCCAACTATGAATGCTGAGAAAATGCCAGTCCCCCACACCCTCTTCCCCTTAGATATCACTACTTTCCAAAGGGAGGAAAAAAATAATCTCTTAAGAATGTAGTCTGTAAACCTTGATTATTTGTTACATATATTAACTTATTATTTCTGCATGATATTACCATGGCAGTACAGACTTCACTTGGCTTTTATTTAAACAAAAGTATACTCCATTGGGGTTACTATTAGTTTATCTGATGCTTTCGTGACCATTTTAACTTTTCCCAAAAAGCTAACCAAGGAACTGAGGAGAAATGTTTCTTTCCACACCCAAAAAGTAACTGTTGCCAAAGACACAATTTAAGAAATAAAAAATTAGACCAATATCAAAAGCTGTTTCCTGCTAATACCAAACTTGTTTTAAATTTCTTTTTAAAGCCAACCAATGCACATAGTCATTGAAATTACATCATTTAACTTTTTTCCCTGAATAAAAATATGTATGAAGGCAAACATGTAACATGTTAGAACACAGAGAAAAGTGGTCTCAGAAACCACAACAATGAGTAAAAACTGTGGCTGAATTCAGCAAGTAGTTGCTGAGCTTAAAGATAACTGTATCCACACTAGACACAATGTGGAACTTGAGGGTCAATCAGAAAGTCATTATCCTTAAGGAAATTTCAATACTCATGGATAGCTAAACAGGTCGGTTGCTTTCTTGACCCTGTGTAGAAATGGCTTTGTCTTCTGAACGCCTATCAGTACTTCAAATTCCATCATCTCCATGAAGCTTGCCCTGTCCTGTACCCCTATGCCCCATGTACCTATATTAATTGCTCCCTGCTTACAGTATTTATATTAATCTATTTATATTTTTCTTCAAGATCTTATACAGTGTCTTATACTTACACATATACATGTCATATCCCAGGGGTCCTCAACCTTTTTGGCACCAGGCACTGCTTTTGTGGAAGACAACTTTTCCACCGAGGGAATGGTTTCAGAATGAAACTGTTCCACCTCAGATCATCAGGCATTAGTTAAGATTCTCGTAAGAAGCGTGCAGCCTACATCTCTTGCTTGCACAGTTCACGAGAGGGCTCATGTTCCTATGAGAATCTAATGCACCACTGATTTGACAGAAGGCAGAGCTCAGGCAGTAATGTTTGCTAGCCCACCACTCAACTCCTGCCGTGCGGCCTGGTTCCTAACAGGCACGGGACCACGGCTGGGGGCTTGGGGACCCTTGTACTATCCCAATTCCCAAACCGGTCTTCGGGGGTCCTTAAATCTGCAGTTGTCTACATATAAACTTTTCTGGAGAGAAGAGATAAAGTAATAATCTTGCAAGAGGCTTTCTCACTCTCAAATTATTAAGAATCATCAATATACATGAATGGATTTATAATAGTCTACCATGTTTAACTAAATCTAGCCATTAGGCTTTTAAAACTGTATCAAACAACTTAGGAGAAATATGTCTTTCACACATCCAAAATGCACTTAGTTCTATAAATACAGTACAAAATTATATAATATCAAAAGCTGTTCTCTGTTAATATGATGATACAACTCCTAAAATAGAAACCTTAGGAAACCACTAAAATGGGAAGAAATTCTGTAGGCCTAAGTGTGATCTCCAAAAAACAGAAGCATGTTTCAAAAATATAGCAAGTATGAAGGCTTTCCCAAGGTTTCTGTTGTTTTTATTGATTTTTAAAATAAATAAATGAAATTGAATCAAAGAACACATTAACATATGGACTAACAGGCTTATGAATACAAACAAGGAAAATACATCCATGTTTATGAACTATAAAACTCATGTGTCAGTCAAATTAAATTACATTTTCAACTAAGCAGCAGCTGGTATTTTTAAGAACACATGAGGCAGAAATAAATTTTAAATCATTTAGTAAGCATTTGCAAAGTTTCCCATTCATAAAATGCAACCTCAAACACATGGTGTCAGATGGAAGCAAAGAACTTAAAGATTCATGAAACAAAGCATGCACAGAGAACAAATGCAAATCCAAAACAGCCATCAAAACTGAAAACTACATCATAAAGCCTTCTAAATTGTATTGGCAATCTGCCTTTTTAAGGAGACTGATCAGAGCTATTAGCTCAAATTATGGTAAATGCACTAAGTATTTTACATCCAATAAACAAATTACATGCAACTAAATTATATAGACCAGGTGGCACCGAACCAAGAGGTTTAAAGAAATAATGGAACTGCTGGCTTGTTATTATAAATAGCCAGTCTGTCAGAAGATAGCGGATTGCTAATAGAAGAGTCTTCAACAAGACAGGTTCTAAAAGGAAACCTGGGAACAACACAATAATCTATCTTATTTCTAGCCTGAACAAATTTGTAATATTGACACTAATAAAACATGCCTTATAAGAAAATAGAAATGATTATGCTGTTTAGCTGATCATGAATAGAGACCTTTTAAAAAGAAACCTCTGTGTGCTAGTGCTTTACACATATTATCTCTAATATTCAATACAACTCCACAATGTACATATTCTTTTCTATTGCTTACAAATGAGAAAGATGCTAAGTGTAACTACCCTAAGGTCACACTTAGGCAGAGCTGAGATTTAAACACTGCTTTGTCTGGTTAGATAGAGAAGCATGGGTTTGCCCAATGAATCAGGATGAGGCCCAGGATCATTAACCTTATGTAACATTTTACAAATGTCTAGAAAGAGGAATTGAACTGAGAAAGCATCAAGATGCAGATAACATTAATCTTAAAATCTTGTGGGCAAAATAAAACCTATACATAAAACAACACAAGCCAAGAAGAAATGTGTTAAAATATTGTGGGAAGAGTTGATAGAAACTTAGAGGGAAAAAGGCTATGGGATGAAATACCTATGGCAGATTTTATGAGGCTTGAATTACACCTCAACAAAAACAGGAAATTCTAGTTAACAGTGGGAAAAGATGGGGAAATTTTTTCATATGGGAAGAAGAGAGCTACAACAGAGCAAATGGTATGTTAAAAGACACATTTAAAACAAAACAAAACAAAAAACATAGTGATCTGACTTAAAGAAGAGTGTTACTGAAAGGCACAACAGCAGATTAGTTAAAAGTACACACTCTGGGAACTAAACTACCTGGGCTCAAATCCTGCTTCTATTAGACATGCAAGTTATTAAATGTCTATATTACT